GTTCAGCTGCCTCTCCAGGGCCGGCGTGTGGCCTTTGGACCAGCAAGCTGAAGCGGAAAACAAGGTCTGAGAACTTGCAACTTGAGAAGATGATGGTTACCAGCCCTGCATTGCCTCAGGGAAGAACAGGAACTACTCTACCATTCTTGAAGTGAAGGTACTTAATGAGAATAGGACAGTGTGGAATGGGGTAAGTGAAGAGAAGAGGATAGAGAAAGATAGCAAGTGAGCAATAGAGAGACAGGACGTCAGTGAGAAACAGATAGGGTTTATTAACTGTTGATGATGACATGTATAGAATTCTCAACTGGATTGGTCTGAGAAGTGTTTCATGATGGGCAAAGTATTTTTACAAGCAAAACGAGAAATAGCAATTGACTGTTTTATAAAAATAATTAGAATAATAAAGATAATGATTGGGGAAAACAGAAAAGATATGGAATGTTGAAGTGGGGAGATTAATGTCTCTGTACTGACTGACGTGCATGGCATTCCCTTTTGAAGAAACAATGTAACACACAGTAAAGTTATATGTAATCCAATGTAATATGAAGAAGATATGATGATAAAAAATAAAAATAAAAAAAAAATAAAAAAAAATAGATAACTGAGGCAACTGAAAGTTGGGCTTTGGATGGGGAGACTCGGTAGCCTTGGGACTCCAAGAAGTTGAGAAGACAAGTTGTGTGTTGTTGAGAAAGAGAGAGAGAGAGAGAGACAGGCTGCAGAAGAGGAGATTGTCTACATACTGTGAGAGGATGCTGGGGGCAAGTGGACAACATGCAAGATCTTGAGTGAGAGCCTGACCAACGAGGTGGGGGCTGTCTCGGAAGCCCTGGGGGAGGACGTTCCAAGCAAGCTATTGGGTAGAGAGTGAATTGGGGTCCTCCCAGGTAAAAGTAAATAGGAAGTAGAAGTCTGAGTGGAGAAGGATAGTGAAAAAGGCATCCTTGAAGCAAGTGGTATTTGGTTGGATGTGGATAGGAGGGTGTATGGGTTGGGGACCACAAGATGGAGAGGAATGACCAACTCATTTATGAGACAGAGGTCCTGAACTAGGCGGAAGGCCCCTGACAGCTTGAGGACTGGGAGGATAGGAGTGTTAAATAGAGAGTCTGTAGGAATGAGGAGTCTGCAAATGAGAAGTCAGGTGATTATAGGCTTCAGGACCTTACATTGTGTTTTGGAGATAGGGAATTGGGGTAGGGAGGGAAACTTGGTGGGATCCTTCAGGTGAATAGGAATTAGAGTGTGGTGGGAGGCCACAACCAGTTCAGAAGTGTCCCAGACAACAAGTTTAACTTCTTCAGGGGGAAGAGGAAAGGAGAGAGGGCCGGAGAGATCAGAGTCAATGGATGAGCAGATGAGAAGGAAGAAAAAGTGAGTGGCAGGGGGGACAGGCAGGAGGAGTGGCAGGAGCTACAGCTAGAAGTTGGAGGGTAGCTCCCAATTGGTGAAGGATGTCTCTGCCCAGGAGGGTGACTAGACATGATGGCATAACTAAGAAGGAGTGAAAGAAAGGTTGTCGATGCATATGAAAGGCTAGGGTGCCTGTCCTAGGTGGACAGGAGGGTGTGCCGTCTATTCCCATGACTGAGAAGGAAAAAGTGACCCCAAATGGGAGGGCAGCATGAAGTAGGTAACCCCTGTGTCCACGAGAAAGGAGATGGACTTACCCACTACTGGGCTTGGTGAGGGTGATGGGGGTCTTCAAGTACAGGCCTCTTCAGTTGGTGGCTAGCCCAAACAGCTCCAAAGAGGGGACTGCCTGGCTGACTTGTCTCCTGCATAGAGGCACCAGAGATGAGTCAGCCATTGGGTAGTCACTTCCCCAATGACAGGCTGTTTGCACTTGGGACATGGCTTGGTGGGTGGTCAGGGGCAAGGGAAATTGTTAGCCCAGTGGCCTGTGTTCTCACACTTGAAGCACGGTCCCAGGGAAATGAACTTAGATGAGGAAGCCCCATTCTTGCCCCCAGTCTCAGGGCTGCTACCAAGACCTGGGTTTGGAGTGCCACCTTGTGGTGAAGGCAGTCTTGGCGTTCAGCCTCAGCTGCTTCCTCCCAGGCATTGCAAACCTTAAATGCCATTTTCACCAGATCACAGACAGAGGTCTGAGGGCCATCCTCTGCCCATTTAAGTTTCTTACGGATATCAGGCACTGACTGGGCAATAAAGTGAGACACCAAAACCGTGGCCCCAGCCGTTGAAGTGGGGTCTAATCATATATAAAGGGTTAAGGCCTCTGTAAGGTGATTGAGGAATGCAACGGGGTTTTCATCTGTCCCCTGGATGATTTCCCGGAGTTTGCCAAAATTGACAATTTTGTTAGAGACAGCATGCATTCCAGCCAGGAGGCATTGGATCACGTTGTCTCAGTTTTTTGGGACAGAGTTTCCTACCTGATAGTCCCATTGAGGGTTGGTAATAGGAACAGCCACTTGCCCGACTGATAAAGTCACATCAACCAGGCGGGCTTGGTCAGCATGTTCTCGGGCTGCAGCCTGGACTTGCTCTCTCTCATCCGCAGTAACGGTGGAGGACAGGATTACATAGAGGTCATGCTAAGTAAGAGTATAGGCCTGAGTAAGATGGAAGAACATTTCAATAAAAGCTGTCGGGTTAGCAGAGAAAAAAACAAGTCTTTTTTCTACTTGAGATAGATCTTGGAGAGAGAAGGGAATGTGAACCCTGACAATACCCTTTGTTCTCACCACTTCCCAGAGAGGACAGAGAAGGTTATAACTGGGGGAAAGGGTGGGAGAAGGCTGAGAGTGTGAGCAGGTATGTGAACTAACTGGAGTGGGGTGAGGAGGGGATGGGAGCAAAGGACACGGAGGAGAAGGAGGCGGCAGTGAAGATGAGGGAGTGGTAGGGGGTGCTAGGACTGGCGGCACCGAAGTGGGACCAGGGTATGGTGGGGGATTCTGAGAGGGGGGTGGGTACCAGGAAGGAGGGGAGGTAAGAATTTTGGGTGGTTCATCTATAGGAGAGAGATTGGCCTCTAGGAGAGATTTGGTCTTAGACTGGCTCTGGTTGCAAGAAGGATTTGGGTGGTAGTGCAGGAGGTGCAGAGGGAGGGGCAAGAGTGCAGATCCCAAAAGGCTTAGACATATAGAACTTCTGACCATTTGTCTACCCTTTGGCAATAGTTATCGAATCAGTGAGGGTATTGTAATCGAATGTCCCCTCAGGAGGCCATTTAGACCCATTGTCCAAAGCATAATGCGGCCAGGCCACAGTGGAACAGAGTATCAGCCACTTGTGACAGAGATCCTGAGCAAGTCCTAATTTGGTGACAGCCTAGGAGCATCTTTGACTTGATGACAGACTCGGTATTACCCATTGTCTCCGAGACTCAAGTGAGTGGGAAAGGGACAGGCATCCCAAATCTCTTTTTGCACTCATAGAGTGCAAAATGGGGGATGGGCAGCAGGGGATTGAGATGTCTTCACAAGCACCTGAGCTCCAGGAGTCAGAGGGGACCCTGACACAGCCGTGTTTTCAGACAGGGAACCCAGAGGTTTGAATCCTGGAAACCATGGGCAGGTGAACTTACCCTCAGAAGGCCAGGGCAGGTGGCTAGTCAGCAGTTGGTGGGTCGGTTCCTGGTTCAGGGGAGGAGAGGCCCTTGCGGGGACTGTGGTACACAAAACTCCTCCTGGGTTTTGGCGCCAAATGTAAGGAATGGGCTGACAATGTAAGAAAATAGAAATGTAGAGTATTGGGAACGCTCCCAGGTAAGGTTCACTGGTCCCACAGAGAAAGAGAGAGGGGACCAGAGAAGTCACACCCTAGGGAGGGGGTTAGCAATTTTTACAAGGATATAGGGAGGAGGAGTGTCTTAGAGGTAGAAACAGTCCATGTATGGTAAAGGTTTAGGGGGAGAGCAGACTACTGTGCTACGTAGGGTCTGGTGCCATATGCAGAGTAGAGCACCATGTGCAGAGTAGAGCACCATGTGCTACATCCAGGTTAGATCCGAGTGCAGCGCAGGTCTGATGACAGACTAGATCTGGGTTGCATCAGTCGACTATGGAATGGCGTCCAACCCCCACATCCAAGCTGCCCAGGCGTCTGGCCTAACACTATCTTCTCTGCAAAAATGAATGGCAAAGCAAGTCCTGTCTTCAGTCACTCCAGGTGACCCTGTCTCCACTCTCTCTTTTTTAAAATTATTTGTTTAATTTTTTAAAAAAATTTAAAATTTTCTATAGGGTACATGTGCTCAGCAGTGAGAGAGAGAGAGAAAGTGAAAAAGCAAGCTGCCAGGTCCAATACTCAAACCATATGATAGTCCAGTGCCTCAACTATCACCTACCAGCTCTAGGTGGCCCTCTCTTAACTAGAGTGACTCTGCAGCCTCTCCCAATCAATCCTGCATTCAATCCCAATCATAAACTGTTTCCTGTCTGTTATGGTTTGAATAATGTCCTTTCCCCAAAGTTTCTATGTTTTGGAATTTAGTCTTAGTGAGTGGTAACTGGGTGTCTCCCAGAAAACCCTATGTTGGGACTTGGCTGTACTATAAAGGCATTAAGAGAAAATGTAATTCCTTCACGTTGTCTCAAGGTTAGGCTTTTGGGTGTGATAATGTCATTAGGGTGAGGCTTCTATGATTGAATTATGGCTGGGATGTAAGAAGAGGGAGTGAGACCAGACTGCACAAAGAAAGCCACATGGGCACAGAACACACTTTGCCAAAAGTTCTGCCTCCACCCTTTGTGATGTCCTTGGAGATTCAACCCTTTTTCTCTGTAAGTCACCCAGCTCAGGTAATAGACTAAGATATCCTCCTTGAACACTACAGGTTGATATGGGGTAGTTTCACTTTATTTGATTGCCCTGTGCCTTTCTGATCCCCAACACTCCCATGAAAAACTGTGGTAAAGGGCTTGAGGAAGTTTAAAGGTTACAACATTGTAAGAGAAGATAACCTTAAAAAATATTATAAACATGTCTTTTTTCAAAGTCCAAAGGAAAGCTTTCAAGGTATCAGTAGGAACTGATAGGATACACAGGCATTCTCTCCTAGGAATAATCCTATTCTTAACCCGTCTGAAGGTTCTTCATTCAAATCTCTCTTTTTCTGCTATAAATATGGCACATTTTGGAAAATGCCATCTCTTAGCACAGATTCATCTCACTCTAAGATCCACTTACAGGAATATAAGAGCAAAGTCATGGAACTCAGAGTTCTCAAATTGTGACACTGTGGAAGGTAACCAAGTAATTAGTATGTTAGCTGCGGGTGCTTTCCTACACACTCTGAGGACGTTACTGTAGCATGGATTGCTGATCTCTCTAGGAAGCCCTTCCTGCATGTCTCAAAGTTTCTAGAATGAGGGATCAGCAGTTAGTGTAATAGCTATGTCGCTGGACTCCCATGTAGTCGACTGTGGTTCGTGTCCCGGACCCGGTGGCTTAAAACTCACACCAGGCACGTGTGCATGCGTGCCCAAGATCCTGAGAGGAGAATGGAGGAGAAGAGATTGCGGCGTGACCATCCCCCCTGGTGGGTGATTTCTCGCTTTCTGTCTTTCTGTCTCTCTCTGTCTGGCGAGCGCACGTGCCCTATAGCAAAGATAGCTCTTAAAAAAAATCTGCAGCCTCTCCCAATCAATCCTGCATTCAATCCCAATCATAAACTGTTTCCTGTCTGTTATGGTTTGAATAATGTCCTTTCCCCAAAGTTTCTATGTTTTGGAATTTAGTCTTAGTGAGTGGTAACTGGGTGTCTCCCAGAAAACCCTATGTTGGGACTTGGCTGTACTATAAAGGCATTAAGAGAAAATGTAATTCCTTCACGTTGTCTCAAGGTTAGGCTTTTGGGTGTGATAATGTCATTAGGGTGAGGCTTCTATGATTGAATTATGGCTGGGATGTAAGAAGAGGGAGTGAGACCAGACTGCACAAAGAAAGCCACATGGGCACAGAACACACTTTGCCAAAAGTTCTGCCTCCACCCTTTGTGATGTCCTTGGAGATTCAACCCTTTTTCTCTGTAAGTCACCCAGCTCAGGTAATAGACTAAGATATCCTCCTTGAACACTACAGGTTGATATGGGGTAGTTTCACTTTATTTGATTGCCCTGTGCCTTTCTGATCCCCAACACTCCCATGAAAAACTGTGGTAAAGGGCTTGAGGAAGTTTAAAGGTTACAACATTGTAAGAGAAGATAACCTTAAAAAATATTATAAACATGTCTTTTTTCAAAGTCCAAAGGAAAGCTTTCAAGGTATCAGTAGGAACTGATAGGATACACAGGCATTCTCTCCTAGGAATAATCCTATTCTTAACCGGTCTGAAGGTTCTTCATTCAAATCTCTCTTTTTCTGCTATAAATATGGCACATTTTGGAAAATGCCATCTCTTAGCACAGATTCATCTCACTCTAAGATCCACTTACAGGAATATAAGAGCAAAGTCATGGAACTCAGAGTTCTCAAATTGTGACACTGTGGAAGGTAACCAAGTAATTAGTATGTTAGCTGCGGGTGCTTTCCTACACACTCTGAGGACGTTACTGTAGCATGGATTGCTGATCTCTCTAGGAAGCCCTTCCTGCATGTCTCAAAGTTTCTAGAATGAGGGATCAGCAGTTAGTGTAATAGCTATGTCGCTGGACTCCCATGTAGTCGACTGTGGTTCGTGTCCCGGACCCGGTGGCTTAAAACTCACACCAGGCACGTGTGCATGCGTGCCCAAGATCCTGAGAGGAGAATGGAGGAGAAGAGATTGCGGCGTGACCATCCCCCCTGGTGGGTGATTTCTCGCTTTCTGTCTTTCTGTCTCTCTCTGTCTGGCGAGCGCACGTGCCCTATAGCCCATAATACCAAAACCTCATAAAAAAAAAAAAAAAAAAAAGAAATGTTTCTAGAATGGAAAGTATGCCACAACTTCAAATATATTGAAAACTTACCCTAGTTTGTTTAAATGCTGACTAGGCACTAAACTAATTATTTTACCTTCAAAATGTGTTTTTTTGTTTGCTTGTTTGTTTTTGAGAGGTTTTTGCTATAGGACGCGTGTGCTCACCAGAAAGACAGAGGGAGACAGAGAGACAAAAAGTGAGAAATCACCCCCCAGGGGGGATGGCCATGCCGCAATCCCTTCTCCTCCTTTCTCCTCTCGGGATCTTGGGCATGCATGCACACGCACCCAGTGTGAATTTAAGCCACCGGGTCCAGGATTCAAACCATGGTCGACTACATAGGAGTCCAGCAACATAGCCATTACACTAACTGCTGCTCCCTCTAAATTGTGTTCTTAAATAGTCTGACCATTTTTTATTAAACTGTAACTTGGAGATTATTTGTGAAACCTTGCTCTCTCTCCCAATACTATAACTTTATATCACTATCAGTTTTTTCGTAAAATCAAAAGTATGTTTATTGTAGTCTCTGAGAACTGAAATTATGATCTAATTATTTTTTCCTTGAACTTCTTTGTACTGTCTAAATTTTTATAATGAAAATGCATTACCTTTGTACTCAGAAAAAGTTCAAAACTGTTGCCAAATATTTTTACTAATAAATAACTACCATCTTACATAAAAGCAAATACTCCACATTTAATTAACAAAGAAATTCCAAGTGTATAATAATAGCACTACTAACCTTTTAAAGTCTGCTTATTCATAAAACTGGAGACAAGGAATCAAAACTGTATAAGCCGGAACCGTGACTGTGTTTTAATTTGCTATAGGACATGTGGGCTTGCAGGAGAGAGACAGAGAGGGAAAGTGAGAAAGCACCCCTCAGCAGGGATGGTCACACTGCAATCCCTTATCCTCCAGTCTTCTCTCAGGACATCTTTGTCTTGTTCTCACATCAGTATGGGCAGATCCAAACCCAAGAACTACAAAGGACCCCAAATAGAATCAACCTAAGATCTTCTCCAAGACACATTATAGTCAGAATGATCAAAACCACAGACAAAGACAAAATATTCAGACTGGCAAGAGAGAAATGTCAAGTTACCTACAAAGGATATCCCATCAGGCTAACAACAGACCTCTCATCAGAAACAATGCAAGCAAGGAAAGAATGGGAAAATATATTCAAAGTGTTGAGTGAAAAACAATTTCAACCAAGAACACTATATCTGTCAAGATTATCCTTCACATGAGAAGAGAAGACAAGAATATTCTCAGCTAAACAAAACCTGATAGAATTTACAAGACCAGACCAGCTCTCCAAGAAGTTCTGAAGGGAGTGCAATAGCAGGAAAACTAAAGTCAGACCCACAGAAGTAAGAGTTCTAAAACAGCTAAGAAAATGGCCAGCTTAATGGTAGGGACAAGTCCAGAGTTGAACGTTATCTTCCAGAATTTAAACAGAAAGATCGGACCACAACAGAAGATAAAGCACATGGCTTTGAACTGCTGAAATAAAATTTTATGAGTTTTGACTAAAACTGACCGTCTATGCTTTGTTTCCCAGGGTTAAGGAGTTTTGTCTTCTCTGGAACTGTGGACAGGTCCTGTATCTACTATTTGAATAGAATCCTAACCTGTTTCCTGGCTTTAAGTATTAAGCAAAGTTCTCTTAACATTTTTTAAATTTTGATTTATTAAAGCTAAACTGTCTTTCTTAAAATTAAAAAATGTATTTAAAAAAATACCTATTTAGTAACCACAGTAAGCTATATAGCCTCAGCTTTGTCCTATTTTATAATATTTTCATTCTA